AATGAGGGTAGTCTGTGTTCCATAAAAGGAGAATTAAAAGTAATCTTTAGTTAAGTAGACTTAAAAGTAAGTTTGCATCTGTTGGTCACCATCCTTTTTTTAACTTGCTAAATATTTGGAACACAGAAAAATTAAGTTTTACATAGCAATTCTGGTTAAGTAGCAGAAAGCTTAGCATAATGTTCTAAGATGTCATCCCTTACACTTCTGTATGTGTGTAGCATATATATTTGTATTTATTTGTAGTACTTTAAAGGAAAAAGGATTGTTTTCAGTTTTTATGGTGTTCAGGCAAATTTGTCTAATTGTGAAGCAGCTCATTGCACCACAGTCCTTTAAAAGAATACTTAATGACTGTTTTAATAGTAATCCTTTACTTTCCTCCTAACTGCGAAATATGTTTTCAAATGGGCTGGATTTGTCTGTCTGAGTTTTTTTCAGAAATAAGCGAAGGCAGATTAGTAGTAGACAAAACTTCAAGATGACAGATTAGAGTTTGGTGAGTTATAATCACCTGCATACAGGAGGTGGTGGGGGAAGGCATAGGTCTGCCTACTTCTGATGTGAATAATGCACAGAAGAAATGGAATGACATGAGTCTTCTAGTAGTTGTATGCATACATGTAAACATAAATTAATAAGAAAGTAATTGAAGGGATGAACTGAAAAGTACGTAGATATTACTTGAAATTAAATCTAGATAGTGAAGTATTTGATTGTATCTCTCGGTAGGTAGCATTTAAAGTTGTAATATCTTTATTGAGTTAAAAAAAAAAAAAAACCAAACATTTATTTGAATGTATTTGAATAAATGAACCTAGAACTGGCAATGAAACATTTAAGCAGAAAATCCTTTTGAATTATTTCTGTTTAATGAATTATTTCTGGTTTGTGGTAACTAATGTAGCTTCTAAATGTTCTAATTCTTGTTGTTAGTTTACATGCCTAATTATATTAGTTCTTCCTGATATATCTACATCTATTTCATATTAAGCTTTTGTATTTTTTTCCTCTTACAATCTCACAGAGTTCAGAAAAACATCAGTTTTGCAAAAGACTTAGAGGACATGCTTTATTGTGTTGTGATATTTTTTTATATAAAACACATCTGAAATGTTTGACAGTTAAACTGATTGGAGTGGTGTTTTTTTTTTTGTTCTTTTTGTTCTGTGAAATGAGTAACAATACAAAAAAATTTGAAAGCATTTGCTTGGACTTCTCTAGCCAATTTAAGTGACTCTACATTTACAGGTCCTGATAAGCTTCATTAAGACATTTCTTGGTGCCAATGCCCCTGTTTTACTTCAGTGACTCGATATTCTATTTCAAAATGCAGTGAGTTTTTCTGCTTCTGTGCTATTTCTGGTCATTTGTAGAAGACAAGTGGAGTCACATTGCCCCCAGCAGGGAAAATGCAGAACATAATTCCATTGTGTTCATATCGAAATGCAAGTGTAGTGCTGGATTCAAGGAATATGAGTTTGCAGAGTAATTTTGGGGGCCAAAAATAAATGTAACATGTAAACAAACAATCTGCATTTACTATGTTTCAATAAACTAACTTAGATTTTCCCTATCTGTTTGAAACTTACTGCTTATTTCAGTATGCACAGCAGTTATTTGCATAACCAGGCATAGAAAAAGTAACTGGTTTTTTTTTTTTTTTTTTTTGCTTTCTAAAATCTATTTTTAATATTGGATTAATGTGTTCTGCTTTGTTTTTGTTTGATTCTCCTAAGGCCTAGTTTGGTAATGCCTCCACAGTATAAACAAAACTGCTTTTTGAAGTGTCTAGAATCTTTTCAACAGTATACAAAAGATGTAATGAATAATTTTAAGAAGCAGCATTTTTAATTTAGAGGCCTTTAGGAAAAGACCAGAGATGACTTTCTTTTTAGTTACCTTTTTGGTTTTTATTACTGCTGAATATACTCAGTGTTGTGTGTACAGCTTTGACCTTCTTTATTCATTGCATTCTGTGGCCAAATTGATTTTATCACATACTAGATAGAATTCTATTCAGAATCAGAGTGCTGTGAATAAAAAGCTTCTTAAAAACCAAGTAAAACATTGCATGATTTCTCTTTCATATTGAGAAATGTTGTTTTTCAGTATCATTTTCTTTCCAGAAGATTTTCTCTCAGGAAAGTATACAGTTAAAGAGTCACCTAATGTATAACTTGAAAAAATGGGATAGAATTTATGGATGTCAAATCTTAAATAGGTAGCTGGCAAATATCAGAAACCGCCAGTTGAAATTGCAAGATTTGTTACAGCTTGTGTACCGTGTTTGCACTTTGCTGTATTTAGGACACTTGATATCAGATAAGGTATTAAAATGAACTATGTCTTCCTACTGATGTTAAAATAGCTGCATCTGTATGTGAGACCAACATTGCTTGGCTAACAACCTATGACTAAAAGCTAGATAGATGTATTGGAAACATGCTGAGTTCTGCTGCATTTTGATGTCAGACACAGGTTGATTTCTTTACCCTATTTGTTTATGTTAAATGAGGGGAATAGCTTTGTCACTTCTGAGAACAGAGCAAAGGAAAACTGCTGCTTGTGCATGTTTAAAAATTTGATGACACTTTCTTTGAGGCTGTCTGTAGTCACTGTGATTTAGTAGGTACTTAAAAGTTAGTACAGCACTGGGATTTGTGCCAGGTTGTGTGTCATGCCATTTTGTTGCTGTAAGCCTTTGGAAAGAAAATTGTATTTTGGACATGTTCTGTAGATATGTTTCTGGGGCAGCAATGAGACTAACAAGCTTTCTGTGACTGAAAATACACACAAAATCTGCTGCTGGAAAGTCTGTGCATGCACTCTTCCACCAGTCAGTGGTGGATGCTTCATTTATCATGGTGTGGGTCAGCCGTGCTTTGTGCTATCCCCAAACACCCACATTACCCAAAAAAAGGCTAATGCAAATTCTCTCATTTAGGATTTAGTACAATGTTTTTATACTGGAAATATTCAAGAAGCAGATGGAATGTCTTGAGAGCTTTTTCAAGGTCTCAGTGGCTTTTTTTTAACTCGTCAAATCAAGAGTTTGGATTGTTTGATGCAAGAGTTAAAAGAAAATAGGATTGAAAATAGGATTGAAAACATAATCCAGGCAAAAGAGTTTTTTGCCTAAGTTAGAATACATTGATTGCCAAGTTGTACTGAGCTGTTTGTAGGGAAAGAGAAGATTGCATCTACTTAAATATTCACATGAGGAGTTGCATGCATATTTCCATCAGGTTTATGCTCTCTGTTTTTAGTCCTTGAACTCAATCTGTTGAGCACTAATCTGTCATATGAGTGAATTGAGCTCAGTTGCTGATACATCTGTGGTTGATAATAAACTTCTGTAAGTTTATCAGAGGGTAAATTATTCAGGCCATATACCATGCAATGTTAAAACTCTTTCTGTTGCTACTGAATAAACACAAGTTGCCAAGGAGGTTTAACTGCAGACAATATGAGAAACCTAATACAAATAGGTTTTGCACAAAATTCGAGACAAAAAAAGACAATGAAATTCAAAATTGGATATTTAATGCTAACACTTCTGCAATATTTAATAATATCTGGGAATGATAGAAGATCTTAAGTAGTCTTTACAATTAGTTAATTTTACCATTTGATGCATGCTGAAAGAAAAGCAGCATGTTCAATTTTCACTGTGATATTTTTCTGTCCTCCTTGATAGGTGGACAAAGTAACCCTAAATTGACCTAATAGGTAGCATAACCAGGTACTTAATGCCGAACATTAGAAACATTTGAAGCTCTTTTGAGCTTATATCGCAGTAGGCTAGTTTCTCTTAAGTTGTAAGTCAGTTATTTGGTTGCTGAAATGCAGAGAATCTTAATTCTGGATCTGTTTATAGGAATAAAGAAAATTCCATAAATGCCCATCAAAAACTTTTGGAGAAGGGATAAGGGGAAAGAAGGGGTCACTGCAAATACTTGAAAATATTTAAAATATATTGGGCAAAACTTGAGAAAAATTCAGTATCTATTTACAAAACGTCGGTATAAAAAGCACATTAATTGCAGAGTTCTGAACTGAAAGCAAGTGGGTAAGCTGTCACATTTTTGAGATGGTAAAATCTAGCAGTCTAATTGTCTGAAGTGTTTTTATTTTAAATTAGGAGATGGTACACTTGATTTTAGTCTCGGCAACTGCTATAAATATGATCACAAAAATGCAAATAGTTCTTATTTGATCCTGCAAATCTTCTGTCTGAGCTTCATAGGGAACTGATGCCCGAGAGAATTTTACAAAATACTGAATTAGGCAAGTAGGTGAGGTCAGCTTTGAGCATGCTGTTTTAACATTTCTTATTGAAATCCAACACCTTTTACATCACGATTTTGTAAATATTTGTCAGTAGTACTTTTGTTGTGGCACTCAAATGTATTTGTTTTCCCCAGAAATAAGATGGAGAAGGAGGAAATGTAGCTTTGCTAAGCATACTTGAATTTTCAAAATGTATACAGAACCTGACAGTCTCCAAGAACTACCAGGTCTGTCAATTCACATTTGTTAAAACACTTTCTAGTGAATATTTTATGAAATTAATATTTTTAGAGCATCAGTAACTGCAGAAGAACAATTTCATTCAACTTTGATCATGCGTTATCTATGAATTAAAACATTCCTGAACAGCGTTAGCTGTAACAGGCAATGTTCAGACTTCTAATACTACTGAAAAGACTGATGTCTGAACAAGACAGTCTCCTGTTTCTTCCAGATTTCTTCATTCTGTTAAATTCATTTGTACCCACTTTCTGCAATTTTTTGCATATTTAGAATGTTAAAAATAAAATATCCTAGAGCTATGAAAATTTTAGAGATGATCCTGATTTTTATATGCATTAAAAAAAAAAAAAAAAAAGCAAAAGGTGAAGTTGACACCAAAGCAGTTTGGTAGTAGACAGATGGATCTGTATACCGATGGGTTTGTATACTGATAATTAGTTTCATATAAGCTTTTCCTGTTCTAGAATGTTAAGCAAGGAATTGTTCATGAGACTGTTCCTCTCACGTTGGTGCTCATCACTTACAATTTGAAGGCATCTTACCAGATGGTAGTCGTTGCTGGATTGTGCAGAGAATTCCCGGAGCGCAACACGTCAGTGACTCGTGTACATCTCCTTGAGGAATAAGGGTGCATGTTGGAGAGGAAAAAAAAAAAAAAAACAGGCTTGCTTTTGGCTGAATGTTGTGCAGTGTAACAAAAACATTTACGTAAAATTAAATAGAATCTTGGCTTTCCTCAACAAATTGAATTTTCCTGTAGTTATCTTTGCTTATACTGACCCTTAGCAATAGAGAAACTGCTTCATTATCTCTCTGCGTGTAAGTGGATTTGGCTGTTTAAATGCATTCAGGATATGGTTTCCCCTATAGAGTTAAACAAGAAGAACTTTTTAAAAATTAATGCTGGACTATTAGTCTAGGGAACTTTAATATATAAACTCATTGTACCTAGAGGAATTTAGAAAGGAAATGAGAGGGCAAAATACAGGAGCATATATTATTTACTGCAAATCACCTGTATAACTGAAAAAAGTAAGTTCATAAGTGCCCTATTCAGTCCATTCCCCTAGGCAGAAGCAACTATTGAAAAGCACTACAATTTTCTCAATTTTTTTTTCCCAATTAATTTCTTTACATTTAAAAGGAATTGTGGATTCTTAATGCTACATTCAGAATATTTCTCTCTGTCTCAGTCCCTAGGGGCTCCATTTAATGGGGAAGGATTTTAAAGTTTGACAGATGTCATAACAGTATGCACAGTTAAAATTTAATACTCTGGGTTTATTTGGTTAGGATAAAAGGGTAAAATACTGCTACTCTTGAGAAAGACCAATTTTATATATCTAATGAACATCAGCACATAATGTTAGCCTTTCACCATCGACTTGAAAAATATGGGTTGAACGTAAACAGTGGTATAATAGCAACAATTATATAATGGCATGTCCAAGTTCAACTGTATGTAGTTGTATGTTTTCTTCAGCTTTCTTTCTTTTCTACCCTTCCTCATTCCTCTAATAGTTCTTCAATGGTTTTTGTTTCACCAACCTTTTTAGTTACATAAAATATGTACTCAGAAGCTTTTTTTTTTTTTTTCTCTCACTAAGAAGAAATTTTACTGGATCTAAGTAGAAACAACAGTTCTCTTGTAATTAGAAAATAGAAGCAGAACTGATTTATTTAACTTAGCTATTAAACCATGATCTCAATCAGTTCACATTTGTTTCACTCAGGACAATGAAGACAATTGTATTTGTCACTTTTGCACAGCTAGAGGAAAACATCTTGGATTGCACAGAGCTCATGGCAGTAGCAGGGGTTGGATGGGAGGGGAAAAAAAAAAAAAAAAAGAATGTATCAAATTAAGCAGTGAAAAGAAGTCAGTTATATTAAAATAGCAGAGTGTTATTCCACATTAGATGTTGCCTCGCACATATTCAGAAACTTCACTTTTTCTTTGTATGGAAATGGGGAAAAGATTGCAGAGGTATTTCAATAAATGTGTAGTGGCTTAGACACCACGTTCAGGGCTATGTTTTCTTATGCTGGGAAAATTTATCTTGAGTATTTAAGTAAGTAGCTTCTCCTGGCAATGGCGAACATAAGAGCTGGCTCTTCAGCAGAACAGGTTTTGTTCTGTTTTAAATGGCCGGTTTTTTCTCTGAATACAAGCAAATTCAAAATCTTTCTTTTCTGAACTTTAAGTTGAACTTTTAGATGAACTTTTTAACTTTAGAAAAGCAATTTGATTTGTTTGTTTGCTTTGCTATGCTATGTTTCTGAAATACTGTTTAAGGATAGCTCTAAATCCATGCTATATTGTAGCAGATCTTTTCTTTAATGTTCATACATTTTGCATGCTATTTTAAATAGCTATTTTAAATCACTCAAGCAGAATATCAGTAAAAATACATAAAAGATTTGTTAGCTTCTTTTCCACTAGCTATATTTCACAGCAGTGGTGATTTGCCTGATTAAGAGATTAGTCTCTGAGAAGAGCATATTTGAATGAGAATGAACTCCAAATGCTCAGTGGTACCGAGTAGATTATTTTCCATGTGGTGGAGGTGGTTCTAATTATTTGCACTTACTCTGATTGCTATACTGTGTTTTAGTATTTGGATTACCGTATTATTACCATAAAATGTACTGCTGTGGTGTCAAAAATAAACTTTGTATTGCATGGGGAAAAGCAGAGATGTGGTTGATGTAGAGAGGTAGTATGGGGATTTTAAAGGATTGTATGGGTTATATTCTCTTTCTCAAAATTCTGTTTCTCAAAATGGAAGAGCTTATAGATTTCACAACAGTTTATCCACTGTAAGTTACAGATCACCTTGAAAAATGCTGTGAAATTTAAAACAAAATTTCAGAGATTTTCTTAATGTAGAAAACTTTCTGTCTCTTCATCATTTTATCAGTCTGTAGAGCCTCTCTTACACTGTCAATTGTTAGTTTTGGTGCTGCCAACCAGAAAACAAGTAGCTGTGTCAGCACAGCACAGTGCCTGCGCTGACTGTGAGTAGGATGTGGTTTTAGAGGTAACAGGAAGAGGATACACAGCAGAATAGCTTTGGAAATGCAGTGTTGATCAGATGATATCAGGCAGTATTGCCTGTGTAAGATTCCTGCAAAGTCATTCTGTAATACAGTCTCTGTGAAGTGGTTGGAAACCTCCAGGCACTGTGAGATGTGCAGTTTCCTACCTGACATTACTACCTAGTGCTGAGAAGTAGGGTGCAAGTGCATTGCATCAAACTTGAATACACTTGGATCTAGTCTTCTCCAGCCAGTGTGCCTGCCGGGCTTGCTGCAGGAGCAGGGAAGCTTTACAACCTACGCGTGTTGATGAGGTTAGGCAATAGGCCCCACACAGCCCAGAACACCCAGCTTACTGAGCAGCATCCCACAGAGCAGATATGGCTCTTTGGCTTATTCGGGTGTTTGTCTGTCCTTTCTTTGTTTTGATCAGTATTCCTCATAGAAGAGGCTTTACAAGAGAATATACTTGAGACTTAGTGGCTAATATAATTAGCCAATATAATTTTATGTGCATAAAATCTTAAGAAAAAATGGCAGTTTGCAAACTTAATAAGGTGTGTGGCAAGTTGGTGAATAATAAATAAAACCTAATAATAAGACCTAATTAATTTCAAATGGGCAAGTGCATTGGAGGAGTTGATCTGGCACATAATGTTATTGTCTTATAAAAATGAGGTTTAATATCAAATTGCCCAGATAAGTGTAACTACTTATTTCTGATAAATCTGTAGAAAAATTGTGTGCATAATGGTGCTGTGAGGAAATGTTCATATATCTGAGTATCCAATGTTTTTCGAAGAGCTTCAAATCTGAAAATAACCAGGCATCTTTGAATTGCCTTTGGATGAATACTTATACTTGCTTGCAGCAACCCAAGAGATTGCATGTATTCACGTGTTAGCTTTGTTTTTAGGTGCTGTGTGATGATATGTTTTGAGTTTTATTCATCTCACCTGTTTTTCTGCTTTCCCTTTACTGACAAATGTTAATAGAAGGTGGGCTTTGCAAAGCCAGGAAAATGGTATGCAACTGCTCAGAAAACAATGCTAGGTATTTGAAAATCCCTCTTTACAGAGTGTGCTTTAATGTGCTGAGAAGTGCTACCTTTTAGTTAGCTTTTGGGTATTTTGAAACTTATTTGTTACTTTGCAGTGTTCTTAAGGGTGTGCTTTGTCTGATAATTAGATTTACCAAGTGCTTAAACTATAATACTGAAGCTATAAGAAATACTTTTTATTATTGTTAGCCCTAAATTCAGAATTATCTCACATTTCTCAACTATCCTTACCACTTTTGGTCTAATTTTCAACATTGGAGTATGTCTGCTGCTTCAACACTGTTCCGTAGCCAGAAGCCATGTGATTCCAATGAGAAGTCATCTTGAAAGTAGAGAGCAGTTTTGCTGGATGAATACTAGTTGATTTCATACGCATTTCTTCGGAATTAAACACTGAAACACTGAAAAGACAAAAATCTGGATTTTCTGTCTAAGTTTTAACAGTAGAAGAATGTATGGCAGGCAGAAATTTGCTGCAATGAACTTGCTGTGCTGCTGTTTGCGGTCACGTCAGCAGGTGGTGCTGGAATGCAGTGCTATAGTTGAGTCAGTAAGTCTTGTGTGCACAGGGAAATAATAAGTGTTCTTAGAGTGCGTTTTGCTTCCTGGACTCCTGCAGTTTTTATTCTTCAGATCTTTATGTTACGAAAGTGTGAATTACAAGTATTAGCAAATTTTAAAAGGAAACAACAAGTGGTTTGGTTTTTTTGGTTGTTAAATGCGAACATTTGTGACGTTCCCTGGTCTGTGACACAGGTGTATTCAGGCATACCTCTCTTAAGAAGCAGATGAGATATGTATGATTTTGCAAGCTGAGTAGTTAAAGCAATAGAGACAGTGAACTCATCATTCCTGTGCTGCTTGCCACAGATCCATCAAGAAATTATACAGGGAAACCACCAGCACTATTTCTTCCTTCTCTTAAGGAAGTCTTTACATAATAGACATGACAGAGTAATGGTGCCATCTAGGGATTAATTTCCTTAGTGCTCTATGACTACACTTCCTCTGGGTGTGGGCAATGCTTCTAAAGTCATTTTGCCAATTAATAACACTTCTGCCTTACATTCTTCTAATGAATGATAGATACTGAGAAGTGCCAATACCATTTAGGAAAAGAGGGAACTTTCTGCTCAGTCTTGTCTTCATTTTTATTTATTTATTTATTTATTGGCCAAAGGCAACTCGAGATAACTAGGAAAAGGGATTTGGAATGCCATTGGCAAAACAGCATGTGTGTTTTGATAACAATGCTTAATTACATGATGGAGGACTATTGTCTCTTCTGTCGCCAATTCAGTGAATTTGGTAATTAACAGGAATATCGACTTTCTACTATGCCTTTTTACTGCAATTCTACCTTTAGCAGAAAACTCTCCCCAGCTGCAATCCTAGTGTCTTCAAACCTTGTGTGGGTTTATAAACCTACTGCCTGGGTTTATATAGTCACTGGTTTTATGTGCAAGCATTTTGTTCAGTGGTGAGAGACTGGTCTTGCTTTGCAGAATGTAAGCATTGAGGGAAGTACTGAGGGGTTATCTAAG